CTAAAAACGCTCATCTCGGAGATTTACATACATCTCAAACCAACATGTTGGTGGTACAATACAGTCCAAGTACATGTGCTTGCAGGTTACGATGTACATGATGAATTTCTGTACGGCACGTACAAACTGAATCCTTTCACTTCTCCCCATATTCTTCAAATCTGCAAAAGATACGGACGCAAAATTGTCCCGCACCTAAAATCTTTTCAGAGTCTGGATGGCCTCGAATCCATCTGTCCACTCGTAAAACTCCAACGCCTGTAAAAGAAAATAAAAACATTGCGTAAATCACATTGATTGAAAAAACTTTCAATTTATGTTATATGATATCATGGTGACCGTACATTTGAACCCCTGTGTATATCCGCTGGTTCAATCTACATGCTGTTCTAAAACCCATGGGTTAGGGTTAGTACGGGTTCAAATATCCGTAAAACTAAATTTCCATAGGTGCAGTAGTATGCAGGTGCAATTGTCGTGGGTTCAGATGTACGTGGATTCAAATATACGCGGGTTCAAATGTAATGGAACCGATATTATATATATATTATCTAAACTTAACTTTTAGTATAGCTTCTGTGTAGGTAGGAATTTGTGATTTGTTCATTTTTTTCAATTGATATTATAAAACTAAAGCTTATAATATGAACTGTAAAAATAACAAAACAGGGGTTAGTGTAAAAACACGTGAAAGAAATGAAAAAGATAACATAATGAGAAGTGAATATTAATTTTAGTTGTGAAAATATGTATGAAAAGGTTGGGGTGAAGAAAATGTATGACACAAATCGTATCTTTTGGTGACGACGGATTTTGCTGCTTTTGATGACAGATACGATCCGAGTTTATTAAAAGATAAAACGTTTTTAATGACGTGAATCACAACGAGGTCTTGTGGTAGATATATATTTCTGATTAAAACTAAAGTATTTCAACCTACCGTACCAATTTCAAATTTGTTTGCGCTCTGTGCGGGCCCACAAAATCTGCACGGAGCATTTTACTGAGGGGATCAAGCAGGTCGAATACGTCGTGGATAAAGTGCATCAATAATTAATTTTTGAAATAAAATTAATATTATTATACAATATTGGGTTTAAACTGTATTAGTCTACGTAAAAAATTGTTGAACTTACTCTTGATTCGCAAGATAAGAACTTAATGAAGAAGCGGTAGGTTCTTGTCTCTGGACATTTCTTTGTTTAAAATATGCTTGTAATGATTTATAAGTCGTGAATATTGCTTTGACCGCGGAATAGCTAGATCTTGTTTTGGCAATCACAGTCATACGTAAACCTCTTTCTTGCGTGATTGCAATGCATTGCTGTTGACCGGATCTGCGAACAGAGGCCTTGGTAAAATGAGGCGTTACTTAAATTTAAGACATTTGAATGGTATTGTTGTGTGTCATTTTCCATTTGTTCACCAGCTTACTTAAATTAAATTCATTAGATGATCCAGTTGTTTCATTCCATCATCCTCAGCGTAAACCAATTCCAAACGGTGTGCCACACAATGCTGCCTAACGAGCGATATTGCACAATTTGGCTCCTAAAAATAATCATTTGGAAAACCAGTAAAAACGAATTCACATTCAGTCCTGTTTAATTTGCTTAGTTTCTATTTTTCAACTACGCCATGGCTACGGCCAATTGTGACAGCTGCTCTATCCGTTGTCAGCATAACCGTATGCCGAATTGATACTTTGTTTTTAGTATAATATTCAATTTTTGTTCCCGCGATCGCGTCGCGATTCAGTTCCTCAAGCTCCAGCAAATCCAGATACCAAACTTGGATTTTCTCTTAAACAAAATAATTCAAATATATTGTCTATTTCGAATGCTAAGTAATAGCTACGCAGCCAGTGGGCCACGTCGCATCTTTTGGGGATCGCTGTACTACAGGGAAAGATGTACATGAACGTACAGCAGTTTATCAAAATCTTTCCGTTCTCCCTCTTTTTTTTTTATCTGTAAAATTGAAATTTCCTTTGGTTGTCCTCCCACCTTTCTCTGCTCACGGAAACTATCAACCATAGATATGGATTGAAACTACTTTCTTCTTTTCCGCCAGGAGATGATACAGCTAGGGCTGAATGATATTGACAATTGAAGAGGAAGCTTGTTAGAGGATACAAATATCTGTAATCTCGGAAAGCCAGAAAATGTCTCATCATTTAGTGATTTTGTAGCGATCCTACAATACACTAGGACCTATGCTGGTCAAGATATACGATTCTATAAGTAATGGCTTTATCTGTGGTTCTGTACGTACCCGTATATTTTTAAATATTTACGTCTTCCCTATAGAAAGTAGAGATCGAACTTACTACATGTTTATCACGCTACGAGAGCATGGTAATGACTGAAACAGATTCCTGGATGCAAGCGCATCGAAGCATGTGATGCAAGTATGTTGTTTCCCTTCTTTGTGTTTTCGTGCTGCATACTCTACATCGGCGCTGTTTTGCTTCTTTTGACTGGGTATGTCACCGGCCATTGAGTCTTTCGTTCGCCAGTTAAATTTTTTTTGCAGAATGAGTTTTTGACTCTTTGCTTGAACGAACATCAGCTAAAATATTAGCGATCACCATTTGTCTGTACTTAAGAAGTGTAACATTTCTACTCTCAGAGCATGGCGAGAATTTATAAATGATATAACTGTTAGTGACGCTTGTTTCAACTAGCCAGAAGAAGATTTTCTTCAACCATTTTACGAATTTTCCTTGAAGTTTTAATAACTGGTGTACTGATCTGCTAAATCTGCGCCTCCCGTGAAGTTGTTATATAATTCAATTCATGAAGGTTTTTTTATGGTTTCCGATGAACCTCACAACTGTTTCTCTCGTTTCACAGTACGTCTATCAGTACTACAGTATTGCAATCGGCTTCTTGTCTTGTCACAGTTATTTCAATTCAACATATTTCAACACACCTTAACCTTATAGCTCTGGAGTAATGGCTTAGTCTGCCTTAATATCCTTTTTAAGTTTAAAAAATGGATTAAAAAAGTTTGCCATCTGTGGCCTCTTGAAAGAAAAAGATAGAGATTAGCTATTGTTTGTACTTTAGCGTCACCCGTAATTAATTGGATTGCTGATAGAGCTTGTAATTATTTGGCGTACGGAGGATTTTTGATAGTTCTGACGGAAAGGGTCACTTTTAATAAACTAGAGCTAGCATTTCATAATTTTTAGTGAGAATGCTTTGGAATCTGTCGTTTGAAAAAATACTAAAAGTGATATTTTCACATTTTTCATCACACCGTATAACACACACGAAAAAATGTAAATGTAATATGAAATGTATAAAGTGAATGTGTGAAACTCGCGTTACCAATATCCGTCTCTGAGTTTTAAGTACTATTCGAACCAGAATACTGGTGGCACCACATCTTCTAAAAAATCATATTTAGTTAGCATCAAGTGCAACAGGAAGTCCTTGATGTAAAGAATCATTGTCTGTTTTTAAACGGGTCCTCTATTTGCTCGAGCTCGTGTAAATTGACTGATGTGTATTCATCCCGTATAAAATATTTCTTGAATTGCGGAATTTTGTAGTTAAATCCATCCACTCACTCGTACATTTCCAAGGCCTGTGAAAACGTAAAAACATTTAATGGCATATATTCAATCGGTCATTGAGGTTTGTTGTTTATTGTTATTACTTACTTTTAAATTCACCTCCGTGTGTTTAGACACGCAGCAGTTTTGTTGGTTCATATTATCTTTTTTTTATTTCAATGTATTAGTAATAGAATAAGCTATTTAATTTTTTTTAATTATGCACTGTATGTATAACAATATGTATCTATGTATAACAATGAATGCACAAAAAAAAATGATTCAAAATCAGTTGCTTATGAATAATACGGATTTAATATGTGTAGGTATTACTACACCATGAAACTCTCCAAAGTAAACGTATAACAGAAACTCAATTATTGTATTCTTTGCATACTGTTTAAAAGCGGCAGCCGTTTATTAATGAACGACATTTTGACGTTATTGTATTCTGTGCATACCGTCTTAGTAACAGTATAAAGGTTATCGAAATATGGGGGGTACCCCTTACCTAGAAATGCATCAACGAGGTCACACATGACCCTAGATGCCAATCACGCTTCTTAAACCCGTAGATCAGGGGTCGGCGACCTGCGGGCCGGATCCGGCCCGCCCGACCCGCATAGTAAGAAAAACCGACCCGCGACGCTTTACTGAATTATAGTAACAAAACAGCCGTTTTAACGATTATATTTTTCACGTTATACAATTCATTGCAAGACGCGCGTAGACTAAATTATATCATAATCTGATTCTAACAAGTATAAAATTCACAGTTACTCGTTTAATGAGCCTATAATTTAATTATAATTAGACAAATAGTAACACGAGAGTATCGGTTGAAAACCGAAGACTTATTGATCGAAACTGCAATTCGTGTAACATGTTAACAAGTTAAAAGAAATATATCATTTACTGAACAAGGGGCACAAAGCTCTGCGTGGTTCAGAAATAATAGCTCAAAACAATTCGATTTCACAAGAAATCGAGGATTTCCGTCAAGGCAAAAAACCTCTTTCTAGATCTCAGCAAATTACAAGAGATTGTCAAACCAGTTTCATTTTTCTTTTTAACGTTTTCAGCATATCCATCAGAAAATCTATATTACATGTAACCAAATTTGGTCTTTCTTTCACAATCTCCTGTAATTGTGATCTAGAAAGATGTTCTTTACCTTTAAGAAAACCCTCTACTTTTTCGTGGTAATACAACCACAGCCTATCAGATTGAGCTATTATTCTCTTGCGAGGAACTGTAGTTTTAATTGCTTTTGTCCTCGGAGAATCTCGATCCAAACGAGACTTTTTTTTTCTCGGCGTTTGGTATTTTGAGGAGGTTGATGGTAGGTCCGATGTGTCTTCAGGTGTTTCGGAGTCAAGAGTCAGATTGTGTTTCGGAGGGTCCGTAAATTCCGGAGGTTGATGGTATATCAGAGGGGTCAGATTGTTTTTTCCGATAATTTTGTTTTCTCTGTCTTCAAGTTTTGAGCTATTATTTCTGAACCACGCAGAGCTGTGTGCCCCCTTGTGCAGTATATAATAGTTTTTACGAGCTATTTCTACTGAATGGCCCAATGCCCTGGCCACATCTCTCTGCTGAGATTCAGGCATACTTGAGGCCAGGGTTTCAGTCATTTTTCTCATTAAAGTAATACTGATACTTTCGCCGAATACTTTTGCCAGTGCGGATCTGACGCACTTGTCGACCCGCATTTGTTTCTTGGAAGGGGTGCCTAATGCGTACTCTTTATCGTCTCTGTCTTTGATATTTTGAAACATGTTGACCAGCTAAAAATAGAAATGATTATCGATAGTTAAATATATTTTGTAGTATCGACAGTATTTTACATATATTTGAATATTAGGGTATACTTTGCAGAGTTGTGAGTCCATGGTTGAATATATCCTGTTGTTTACCGTTGTATTTCTTACCTTTAAAAACATTTCGTAGTCTTCTCGTGACATTGTGAGAAAACCTACTTCGTCTCTAATTTTTTGCTCTTCCGCTATAATTTGTAACAATCTTTGGTCTTCATATTCCCTGGCCTGTTTAAGCTCGCCAACCTTCATACAGGAAAAGTAGCCAACTCTCCCGCCGCGTTCGAGGATATGGCAAGCTACAAACAGGCCAAGGCATTTGTTGTATGTTTTTTCCGAGACCGGTTGTACGTCGAGCTCTTTCATCGCCTTTTTATATTTCGGACCACTGAAATACATAAAAACAAGCGAATATGTTGAATTGTAACATAATTTTTTTATTTGCATCTGTACCAATTTGGCCTATTTAAAATGTTGAACATTGACACATCATACATTAGAATGTAAGTAAACAGAATTAACAGTTTCGAAAACAAAATTTTTAACTTTTGTGAATGTTCGTCAAGTAATATGTTTCTGAAAAGTTATTTGAGAAATAAATTATTTTTTTGTAAATTGTAAAACTAGGTTAAGCATTTAAAAATGTATAATTAAAATTAAAAAAAAAAATGTATTGTTAATACTACCAAATAAATTTGTCACAATAAGGGGGATTTTGCAAAATCGATCTTAGGCTATGTTAGAATTTAAATTTCATGTTTAATAATTTAGGAAATAATATAGTACTTATTCTCAATGACAGGTCCCAATAGTTACTCCATCTGTGCCTGGTCTGTCACGTTCTTTAGCGTATTTATCTGCTTCTTCTGTCTGCTAGCAGACGCGGAAGCCAAAGCTATCCCATCAAGGATCTTCTTGAAAATCGACACCAGCTACTGTATAGCCATTAAACAGCGTCCAATTGCAGAAGTGTTTAATGGCTATTAGGTGGCGGTGTTTGAGGGCCGGAGATTTTTCGTTGTTGGTTCTAAGTATCTGGTGAATATTTAATGGAGTGACACCTTTGAAATAAACTTTCAGTTCGTTTACTGCATATTTCGCCATTTGGGGGTCCTTTGGTTTCTGGTTGAATATACCTTTTCTTGGGAGTACCTGAAAAGAAAGTACCATCAAAATATTTAGTTTCTTGTACGATAGGGATGTGTGTGTACTAATCATATGAATGTGCTTATGAAATAATGAACACGTATACTCACATCATAGTATATGGACTCTTGCGTAATATTTCCTAGTGTTTCATCCAACTCCTCTCCTTGTAATTTATGAACTGTCCTCAGATGTCGTCTCAAAGTCGCTGTCAAAGTAACTTTATGGCAGATGGTGCATCTGGTATATATTTGTTAAAATCTATTGCGGCACCGGTTTGACGGTAAAGATATCTGTAGAATTGAATAAAATAAATATGATGTAATTATTTGCATACGAAACAGAATGACAGGAAGCAGTAATAATAATAGTCAGGAAACGAAATCTGAATAGCCAAGAAGCGATAAAATGGATTTTAGCAATAATAATCGTCAAGAACGTCCAAAATGACATCGAAGACAAAGAATTCTTACTACAATATTTACCCCGATCTCCCTATAACTCACCACTGTGAAATTTTTGCTCTCATTTTAGGGGTGGCTTCGCGATTTGTAGTCTATAATAACAAAGCTAGACTAATTTTCGATTTGAAGATGTAAAATTATTATATACCTTTCTTCGGACTCGGGGACATTGTGTGCTTGTATTAGGTGTCTACGTTTCTGCCGCCGAAGTTTTTCGCCACAGTCGGGAAACATACAAACATAAAGTTTCTTTCCGGCTTCTAACGGTTGTTGTTCTTCTTCTTCCATTTCCTCTCTATATTTTTTTTCTTTCTTCTTCTCCTACTTCGCCTTTCGGTTTCGGTTTCTTCTTGACCTCCCTCTACCAGTACCACCAAAGGGTGCCTTTTCCGCGAATGAATAATTTGGTATTCTTCTTCATCCGAAGTAGTGTCTAATTCAGGGGTCACCAACCTTTTCGAGGCCGAGGGCTACTTTCTGGGTACAGATTTATCCGCGGGCTACCAGTTCAATGTACACTTCTAAACTTCTAAAAAGTCACGGCTGTGTGGCCATCGTGCTTAGCGTTAGGTTCGCAGGTTAGAATTCCATTGGATTGCTGGAGGATTGCTGGATCCCTTGCTGCCGTTGGGATGACTTCCTTCGCCATCAAGCCCATGCTTACGAAAACAAATAACTAACTAATCCCAACCCGACATGAAATGACAACCGGACGAGAGGCCGTGGTTCGCATATGGTTGAGCCGACTTATCCCAAGGATAAATATGTAAATCCCACCCTATTCTGAGTTTGAGAGAGACGTGAAATATCTTTTCGCCTTGCCGTCGCTACAATCGCCCCACAAATGAGACAGGCGCATGCTGTTTTCATGGTGGTAAAATATATCCACCCCCATTCATCGTGAAAATAGTGGGTTTCTCATCGTTTTTCTGCCATTTTTTCTTTGGAATTAATAATTTTATTATTGCTGCTCCACAAACGAACGCACAAGAGAAACCGCGGATTCGTGGTAGGTGATATCAGTGTGATGTCATAATTGGAAGAGTGTTGATTGACCCGTCACATTACTGAGGTCAAATAAAAATCAGGTTGAGTGGTTCCCAACCAGTGTGCCGCGGCACATCAGTGTGCCGCGAAATGATTTTGGTGTGCCGCGAAGAACCTTCATTTTTGAATTTATTTCAAGTGATTCCAATTTCCAATCACCTAAATTCCGCGAGAATTACCCCACGTCTCTTGCTAACTAACAGAAACGACAAAATTGAGGAATCGTATTTACCAAGTAATTATTATTTGACTAGTAGCATTATTACCGATATATTGAATCATTATTTAAACTCAAAATAACATTCAGACCCACGCAATGACTTTGCGGTGTTTTTATTCACTGTATAATACAAAAATAAGACAGGCACATTAGAAAAGTTAAATCATAGGAAGGTTAACTATCGTCTTCATATCCACATTGCGGCGTCAGAAATGGTAATATTGGTAGCTTAAATTGGGGCAGGTAATTTACAAGCGGTGAGGAGAAAGATCAAAACCTTCGCAAAAGATAAAGATTGGAATAAATTCCTGAATTCACTCCTTATTAGCTGTTTTTAACATACGTCGCCCATATGAATACCTAGTTCTCCCAGGAATATAAAGTCTAACTTCGACGTTCGCTGTTGCGTTTTAATTGGTCCCTGTAAAAAAGAGGCTAATCTGGCGAAACGTGTGGTAGCCCAAACACTCGTGCAAGGAAATTTAATAAAACCTTCAATAAATTTGGTAAATTGCACTACTTCACGAAATCGTGGTAGTGACGATAATTTCATATCTCTAATACAGAAACGGTTATCTATTTCGGATAGTTTCTGTGGTCTGAAAAGTTGAATAAACGTTTCGACATGGTAAATGGTCATTCCCATCACTATGTGCTCGGACCTTGCACGAAATTCATAACGTGAAAAACAATACCCAACCGTTAATAGCAACAGTGTTGAATGATTTTCGCAATGGAAGAAACAAAATTCGATTTTAAAATGAAATTTGAAAACAAAATTCTGTTACAATATCGAATTGTAACAAAAGAGAATAAGGTTGTGTAAAAGTGAGCAGACCTGTAATAATAAAAAGGCCGTAACATGAAACGGGGAGGGCGAGCAAAACCGAAGCGATTGATCGGCGGAGACTACGTATTACCCCTGCGGCCGCGCATCTTTTACAATAATGTGAGGTGTTCCGAGGCGCTTTCATGTACATCATTGTAAGAAAACCGTTATAACGGTAACTATTAACCATATTTGGACTATTGCACTCTTCGGAAATGATAATTTTGTAAAGCGAAACAACTTAAATATTGACGAAATTATTGAGCGATCGCCCCAGTCGCTTGCGTTAAGTTGTGTATCTATCAGAGTTAAGAGTATCTACCTCACATTCGTCCACAAATTGCAGCAGTAGTAAAGAAGTACCATGCATAACAGTCCTACTGACCATTCCCCCCTTTTATACCTGTTACTAAATACAGGGTATGTTATTATTATATGAATCAAATTCTCTGATCTTCCTTGTTATTATTTCATAACAAAATGGCTTTATGAGTAGAAAATGTTCATGTTTTGTGATAGGTGTGCCGCGATGTAAAAAAGGTTGGGAACCACTGGGTTGGTGGCTACAATAATGATATTGTACTATTCCCGATTCCCATATAAGTGTGATTTATATAAGAATAGCAGGACGAAATTTAGTTGATGTAGCTTTTTCATTAAGCTTAGTTTGGAACAGATCTGTGGGCGACTCGTATGGTCTTCACGGGCGACTTGGTGCCCGCGGACAACGCGTTGGTGACCCCTGCTGTAAATACAACATACCCTGTATTTAGTAACAGATATAGAATAATAATTGTGAAAGTAAATAGCACTTTATGCCCGGTGCTTCTTTACTACTCCTGCAATTTGTGAACGAATGTGAGGGAGGCACTTTCAACCTTCTGAGAGAGACTCTTGACGCAGGGCGATGGGGCGGTCGCCCCAAATAATTTCGTCTATAGTTAAGCTAACAACATTAACATTTCGGACCTTGGTACACATAATACGTTCCGATATCCGCCATCTTAGTTCGCATACTTCGGGAGTACCAATATTTGTCATCAAGCATGCAACGGCGACATTGCTGAACCAGAGTTATATTTATGATAGAAAAGGGTGCTCCTGAAGATGTCGCACAACCTGAATCCTAAGCGGTACACACACATACTATTTTCAGGCTGTGCGTCATCTTGGTGCGCATACTTCAGGAGGTCCTTCAAAAAGTATATTTGCTTTGATTTATCGGGTATTGAATCGGAACCATTTAGGTTCAGGTTGTGCGTCATTATGGTGAACAGATTTGACGAAAAACACTAATACAAATATCACGCCGTAAAAAAATTGCTCAAGGTTGTAAACCTCACACCCATGTATAAATGATGGGCAATGACTCCAAGATGAGAAGAGAATGCTGTTGCACGCCATACTATTAGGTCACGTTTTATCTTCTGTCTAAAGTTAAATGGAAAAATCCCATTAGATCCTTGAATTAAGAGCATGACTTATAGAGGGCTCTGAAGGAAACTGCAAAATTTGTAAAAGCCGTTTTGAGAAAATTAGTAAAACGTATGTTTTCAATTTTTAGAACTCTTGTAAATTCAACTTATTTCTTTCACATATTTATTTTTAAAAATTTCAACGAATGTCCTCTTGTTTTAAAGCCCTGTATATATACCCGCCTATAACTTGAAGGCTTGCCGCCTCGTTAACAAATAAGTTTTTGTTTTTTGCTCGAGGGCGTTTAATCTTTTTGAAACAAGTTTAGCAAGTTTATTATCAAATGGCAACTTAGACAACCCTAGGGTGCCTAACCCTTGTTGAAAACCACGCGCTTGAGTTTTCCAAAACTAAACAGAGAGTCAACCTGAGACGAACGTTTGGGAATCAAGTACACAAAATGCACTATCTAAGACTGAATTCGAAATTTTGAGTTCTATTAGATTTTTTTCTTTACCTCTTAAATATATTGTAAAAAATTAACAATGCTTTTCTTTTTACCCCCGTTGTCTCAAATTGACATTTGTCGAACGTGACAAAAAAACTCTACTTCATGAAAACTTGACAGTTTAAAATATTTGTTTCTTACGCGAGAATGCGGCCAAACATGGCAGCTGGTTGCGACCGCACGTACGACGTTTTGTTTGAATTCCATTCTCAAGCATCTGGAACGACTAACCCAGACAGTTATTTCCCATTCTCTGTCTGGAAGAAATGCCGTTGTCCCCCATACAGCCAAGTAAATTAGGCTTACCGTACATACCGCTTTAGGCGGGACAGTCCCGGTTTTTAGAGTCTTGTCCCGTCGTCCCGACAAGTCAGCCAAAAGTCCCACTTTGGCGGTCGAAACATTGTGTGCCTGTTGTTGTTTGAAGGTGTTAGCGAATAAGTAAATTCTCATTGCTTGAAATCGGCAGACTATTTCCTTAACCTTTATTCCTTTTGCGTTCCTTTATTCCTTTCTATTTTTTGAACTGAATCCGATATTTAGACAAAGAATATGCGCATGAACTCTCGATGACAATATGGTCAATGAAGACAGCCGGGATGGCTTTAAATATAAAGTTACAAGATCACAGCTAAGAGGTCGTGTCTTTGGAGGCGTCCCGCTTCGAAGTCAAAAAATGTGGTAACCCTAACTATAGATATAGTCCTTCATATGTATTGTGTATCTGTTCGTAACCTGTAAACGAGCCCAATATATTGATGTATGGATTAGGCCAGGGGTCAGAAACCTTTCGTCGCTCGCGGGCCAAAATTAAGGGTTGAACGTCATTGGCGGGCCGCATATATTTTCAGAAAGTTAAAATTTGAACGGATGGCCGATGACTCGCACTTTAAATTTTGAACACAGAATTTAAATTTTAAGCAGCGCGCGAAGACTGTACAACTCGTGAACTCAACTTGCTCGACTTTGTGATCTAAACTTCAGATGATAAAGTGACACCTTTTATTGCAAAACACCCTCGCCCATTAAAATAAAAAGCTGTGGAACATACTAGGTAGGACGTAGGGGCCGGCATAGACCAATATGAAAAGTTAACTCAATCGCTTAATACCGGTTTTCACACCGTTGGTATTGTGTGTAAATTCCCGCATTCGATATGGACTTTGTAATGTAACTGTTTTTATATAATCAAACTGCCATATGCTATTTTTCTATATATACGCTAATAATACGCCACTTTCGTGGTAACCCCAACTAATAACTTAAGTGAAATCGATATTTTCGGCATTGAAATGCCATTCGAAAAACTGATTTTTTTCATCATGGTAGTCATTAAATGTTTTAATGGCATTTCACCGTAACTTCAACAAGTAACGGT